GGTTTTCGACGATTATCAATAGTATCTGGTTAGTCTAAATTAACAAGATCAGTAATTTTCGACGACCAACAAATAAATATAACACGTCATCCAAATGGAATTGACGTACTTATTGTCGACCGGCAGCATGGCACCAAACAGATTAGAACCAGTTCAGTTATCGTCCGTGTTCATACTTATTGTTTACTACATATTATCGACATTGATGATGCCGAACTATACGATTACAAAATAAGGAAGTTTTATCTACCAAATCGATAATCGTTTTAAGTGGTATTCGTAGACGCATTTACAACGCAATCTCGCGTACGTCTAGTGTCTAAGGATTGAAATGTCGAAAGTTATGAAATCAAAATCGATTTTAAAAACGGCATTAACACGTCAGTTATTGGGGTAAAACGGTCTTTAAATCAATACAACAGTATTATCTGACCGTTCGATGTGTTGGTAAATAATAGTAGGGAGCGGATTTTCTTTAAGGGGGGGGGGCAAAGGGGGCAGTTGCCCCGGGCGGCAATATTTTAGGGGCGGCAAATTCTTAACAGTGAAAACGAAAGTTTTGAATTTTTCTAATGTATTTTAATTTTTAGGAAAAATTATTATTCATTGAAAAATGTGTATAATAAATAATAACAGTAATATTATATTAGATATTTACATCGAATCGCCTACCACAGAATTATTACGTGAACGTTCAGCGTATTATAAGTAAAGTAGGAAAGACCATATTATCATTATAGCGCTCGGACCGACGGCTAAGCGGCGACGCATTTCTATTTTTGTTCATATTATCGTATTATTTACGAGTAGAAATATTGTACACAATATGTTTACAGCAGTAAATATAGTCGTGTTTGTTTCATACCTGTATGGCTATATTATAGGTTCGGTTATCTGTTATCTGTTCGTCTTTCGAGTCTCGTAGTAGTAGAACGTTCTCGTAGTCTCGTCAACTGTCAAGTTATATTTATTTAAAATTGAAAAAACGTGATTAATATTTCCTAACAGTAGTTTTCCATCAATCAATATGAGTGGAAAACGCATAAAGTTAAGTGGTGCTGAATTTCGCAAAAGAGCTGAGGAAARAAATAAAAATGACAAACTAATTATTTCTCAGACGCCTAAAATTCAAAGTTTTTTCAAAAAGGTAAGAACTTACGTATTTAATAATATTATATAGTAGTGTTTACTTACCTATTTATTAAAGAATAATGAAGAATTTAAAATATAAATAGTCGTAATAATATTTATGCTAATGTTTTTAAAACGAATTTATAATTAATTTTAAATACTTCAGACTAGGTACGATTGTATTTTATTAGATTTCATTTTCCTATAGACTATTTTTTATAAATGGTAGATCAGCATTATTTAACATAATATTATGCAATAATTGTTATTAACTGTTGTATAGTTGTACCTATCCAATTATCCAAATCCAATGTTTTAAAGTTTTTTTTTTTTTTAAACTTATGCTATAGGGCGGCATTTTAAAATCTGCCCCCAGGCAGCATATTCGTTAACCCGGCACTGAATACAACAGTATTATCTGACCGTTCAATCTCAATTTTTTTTCAAACCAACGAGAGTATGTCGTTTCTCAATGCTTTGTTCTGGAATAAAACCCATAGTTGTTTATACATACATCGTACGTATTATATTTAAATAAAMTAATATTAATTATTTTATAGTATTCAATACTTATACATGTTTTCGATAATTATTGATTTTTTAATACTTTGATTCAATATAGTCCGTTCTGCAGTCATAAATGATTTGTTGGTTACATTTTATGATACGA